TCCTATTGACAGAAGATAACTTTCTAAGAATGGACCGTATGCAATTGGCGTTCCAAGATTGCTCGTTTGCAATCCTGGAAACTTCTCAAGTAATCGTATAATACTAATTTATATTGTAGACGATTCTAATTTCTTTATACAACAGTCTAATTATTGTTTAATTATGAAAAGGATCTGAACAACGGTCCGTTGGTTCCTCCGACAGACTCGAGCACACCGCCACCTATCGGTTTCACTTACGAGCTACGAATTTTATACCCATACCTTAAAACCACCTGTTTTCACAAAAAACTATTCAGTTCACTTAATGTCACTTTAAAAGTTTGTAAATAAATTAGGAGTCGTTCAAGAAAATATGTAGAAATAAATTGAGTCCCTAATTGATGCTATTTATGTCATCTTCGAACGTTAACGATATCAAATGATATACTTGAGAAGTTTGTGAGTGAAATTATGAGAATTAAAGTTGGCAATATCGCCGAGAATCATGAGGACCGGAGGGAGGCTTCTCTGTTCCACGTTTGCAACTTCTCATGTTTCTTACCTTTAAAACATCTTGCAACAAGTTCGTAAATTCAGTACGTGTAACACGATATATAACTGTATATTCTATGGAAGAGTGTGACCGATCCTACCTTGCAGTTCTTGTACAATGAAGTGTTTGTTCTGTTCGTCAGAAAGTAATAACACTGTCTAAGAAATGTTAAACAATAATTTGTATTCTTTATAATCATGCTTTTAAAATCACAGAATGTTTTAAGGTTTTTATCTTGTAAATGAGCTTTAATGTCTTATCGTGTACAGCTGCCTGATCAGCTTCCTACCAATCGTGAAACGCTAATCGCATGCAATATAACGGGGAGCCACAAAATTCAGCCACGTCTACGTTTGTCAATGCATCGGACACCTTTCCTCTATGAAGCTCATGCCACTGGAAAGAAGCTACGCTTGTTTGGAGAAAACTGGCCCAACTCGTTCTTTCTCACAAATTCTCGTCGTCGTTCGCCTTTCCAATTAATTAAACGCTCATAACTTTCATCGACGTTTCGACCAGTTTTTACCAGAAATCGCCAACTAAATTGCTAAACACATCCACTCGTCTCTAGAGACAAGTTTCCCAGACGATAAAATCTCTACTCTGATCTATTTAATGAAAATTAACGTTACTTTTCTCGGACCTGTTGGTTGCCTCGAGAAAAGTTCACCTCGCTTATATCGACCAATTAGCTTAATCGATCGCGAGTCACGTTAAAAGAAAGAAACAACTAACGAGTTATGGCAAGTCGAGGATAATCGGGAGAAAAATAAGTGTATTTTAATACGATCGGATAAGCCTCTAGCGTGTTCGTCCGAGTACTAGAGATCGTATCGAACGCGGGCATTTAATCACAGCCGGGCTGTTACTCCCGACATTTTCTGACTCAATGCGTTCCGTTTTTGTCGAGCTACTGGCACAGATAAGTTTCATGCATCTAAGGTCTTGTATTCGTGTTGATCTGAAAAACTTAATTGCGGCGATCGTTCCGAACTGTCGAACGTAACGAGAAACATCGACTGTTACGGATGCACGAAGCGTGGCTACCGAAGGGGGCGGTCCTTGGGCACGCGATGCGCAAGGTAGCTGCGCGGACGTGCGTCTCGTGCATCCGTGGCGATGGAACGACATTGTTGCGCCCACACGATTTTGGAAACATTTTCATTGTTTGGAATTGTACATACACTAACTGTCCATGCGTTTTAGAACCATTCTATTGTTAATTGTACATTATAATTTTAAAGAAGGTCCAACAGACGGACATCGTCTTTGAATTTAAACCGTTCAACTTCCAATTTCGCGAACGAATACGATTCTTTTTCTATCGATTCGTGTACCCAGGCAATTCTATGAAAACCGTCGGTTCCGTTCCATCCGACGATATACATTCAATCGGTCCTTCGACTCTTTCGCCGAGCAAGCGTTGATTTCCCTCGATTTCCGTCGGCGAAAGATCGAAAAATGTATCGAATCAAATTCTGTTACGATAACGGGTCGTTCGGTCGCGTGATTTCTTCGAAATGGAAACAGAAAGAGACCTACGACCGACCAGCGAAGCGCTAAACGAGAAACACCTCGTTCCTCGGTGCGTGATCAGAGAACTATGCCATGCAAAAACATAATTAACGATTTTCAGCCGGCCATACACAGAGATGTAACAAGATTGACCTGGAAATCGATGTTCAACTGCAAAACGGGCTGATTTTCCATCTCGAAATTGATTCAAACGATAAAATAATTTAGAAAAAGATATTTCCACGGGCAAAAATTATTATTATTCGTTTTAAAGACGAATCGTCCCGTTTTTAATTGTACTGTCATTTTCGGCCAACTCTTCGTACGAAGTGTAAAATTAACAGCTGTTACAGATATATTCAGAGACTAGCCTGTAACATCTACGATTTTACACCTTGTACACAGAGGACATCCACGGACGGAAGAATCTCAATCGGGTAGGAAACGCAATTTTTGCTAAAAAAAAAAAGGTTCCAGTAAACGTTTAATCGGAAATACTTTCTTGACCATTCTTCCATATCGTACACGACTGTCGTGCATAATTTCTCGTACGATACGATCGAGCCTGTTATCTCGTAGACGATTCCGTTCGATGCGAACGCAATACTGACAAAAAGGCACGAGTTATTTCCGTAAACGTGCACGTACCAATAAACACACTTTCCTTTTAATAGAACCAATTGTTACAGAGATAAACATATTATGAGAAGATACTTGATAAATGAATATTTCGGTATTCGTACAGGAAGAAGTATTTCCGAATATGTGTCTATTGGAACAATTTTCAATACAAATTGCTCACCCTATATTCGTTCGAATTGTGTTCAGGCAAAAAAATTTGGCCGCCCAAGGTTACTCCCCTACCACTAGTGGAGAGGTAACGAACATGTTACTCCCCCTCATGGTCGCACAGTGGGGCCATTGCATGCCAAACGCGGCAAAAAGTGGTTTTATACAAATATACCCACAATGAAATAATGATTCACTAATAGTTAATGGGACACATGGGCCATGATTTAGTGTGATTTTTTTTATCATTTGTCGATTTTTGATACGACTACATGATTTTGAAACGTTCAATCTTAAAATCATCCAAAATTATAATCATCGTTTATTGTTGCTTTGATTCTTCAAAGTAAATGATGAGTAATTGAATTAAATGTACTTAGTACGTAATAGCATTCCCCGTCTCGGCTTCGCCCGACCTTGTGCAAAAGCAATTTATGACCAGACGATCGTCTTGACATATATATCCGCGATAATGCAATTCTCTCGCGAGAAAGCGCTCGAGAAGCTTTGCCACCTGGCGGTAACATCGCAGTACTGCTACGGGCGAGGTATCGCGCGGGCCGAATATGCGCATGTGCGCGCAAGTAGACTGTCGTATACAGGGGTCACGTGGTCTGCCAACAGTCGTACCCATGAAATCTTTGCATATAAATTACATGTTAATAACGCGCTTCTGAGACATGCTACATAGCCTATGTCCGTCCTAAAGTATGCAGGAATAACGTGTCAAAATTTGAGGAAGATCGGTTCAATAGGTCTTGAGTTTTGCGCGAACATAAAAATCGACTCTCTCTTTATATAATAGTATAGATTTAAATTACACCAAAGTACACTTTTATATCTCCAACATTTTTTGAGTTATAACTAATTGAACATGTTCAGTTTTCATTTTATTTTTTAATTATGAATGCAGTGCGATTCAGTGTTCATTTTAGTTGCTTTTTGTAGAGTGAAGCCTTACCTTTTTTTTAAAAAAAAAATTAGTTGCTACTAGCTGCTACTGCGAAAAATATAAAGATGATCAACTGTTTCGGCACGTGCGAGCGTCGGCGATTGCGAGTATTGTTACGATTCTCAAAAATACATCAAAACTAGGAAACAATGCATACATTTCATTGTTTTTGCTTCGAATGCTATAAAAGCATAAAATGATCACGAATTTGGAGCATTTGTCGTTTGACGTTCCTAACTTGTATGTTGTGAGTGAAATAGTTAGTGTTAAAATAATGGAATTTCCAATTGAAGTAGGTAGGTACAGATATATATATATTTGAATTTCGCCATTTTTCTTCATCTTCTATATAGTTTGTTAATACAGTTTACGTAGCAAAAGTTTCATTTTAATAGAATGACATTTTTTTTTAAATCCTAAGGTTCATCAGGAGTACGTTTTTTTTTAATGATGCAGTTTTATAACATCATGACACAGCATCAAAATCATGATTTTGAAAATAAACTAGAATTTTTAGAGTCGTCCTTAATGAGCCAGGATTATTCTGTGGAGTGCCAGAAAATTTTGAAAACAAAAATTGCAACTTTGAAGTCCCGTTTCAGGAGAAGGTGGAAATTAGACGAATAGACGACACGACCTTTACGAAGAGAAAACGAAAGAATTTATGAATCTATGAATGATTCTTCATCTGATTCTTCATTCGTAATTTAAATACGTACTAAGTACATTTAATTCAATTACTCATCATTTACTTTGAAGAATCAAAGCAACAATAAACGATGATTATAATTTTGGATGATTTTAAGATTGAACGTTTCAAAATCATGTAGTCGTATCAAAAATCGACAAATGATTAAAAAAATCACACTAAATCATGGCCCATGTGTCCCATTAACTATTAGTGAATCATTATTTCATTGTGGGTATATTTGTATAAAACCACTTTTTGCCGCGTTTGGCATGCAATGGCCCCACTGTGCGTCGGTAAAAAAACGTTCCTCGTTAACCCAGAGAAGAAATTAGCGAACAGAAGTGGTGGGGCATCGAAACAATACCGATGGAGGGAGTGAAAGGAGACGGTGGCCGGATGGCCTTGAACGGCCAAATTATTTCGCCTACACCCAGGTTTCTTTCGTTCGAGGATACATCGTGGACGCATATACATACACATAGAGATCTAGACGTGATGGAACTAGACGAGGGACTCACGCGACAAACTCGCCGAAGAACCTGATCTTCCTGTGGCAGGTGTCGAGGAGGGAAAGACGGGAGGAGACGTTGGACCCGCTGGCGGCGGCGCCGTGATGCACCGGCGTCGGCGGCGCCGACAGGGTCGAGGACGTCGAGGCGGAAGAGTCCTGGAGGACGACGCGCGCCGGTGAGCGCAGCATCGCCGTCGTGGTGATCGTCGTAGTGGAGGACGATCTCTTCGGCGCCCCGTCCTCGTGCCCGAGGATCTTTTCACGTACGCTGGGTATGCACCAAATCTTGTTCGGTTCTCATTGAACACCGCCCGCGACACCTAATCGCCTGGTGTTCTCACCCGTTCACGATTTCTCCGACGAATCACCCCCCCAGACCGTTCCAAGCCTTATTCCTCAAAGAATTTTCACTCTGGATCGTTCTCTACTTTTATCGACGAGTCTTCGAAAAGTTTTAGAAACATCATTTTCGTTTGTTCCTCGACCACATTACTTAGATCGCACCGTTCGCGACGACGTCCTCTTCTGGTGCACGTTGAAAAGGCACATCTGCTCTTCGTTCAGCGTCGTTGGGTATCGATGGAGGCCAAGGAACCGTAGTTTCGGAGAAAAATCGTTCTTCAACGATTATTCTTAAACTTCGTAACAGGTATTCTGGGGAACAATCGTTGCTCGTTGTTTAACCGACATTCCTCGTAAATAAAGATATTCGGTGCTCACCTAACGGGACTTCCTTAGTTAGGAGTTAACGATAATATAGTAAAAAGAAAACATATTAAAAATATTCCACTGTTCGATTTACTTTAACGTAACTGCACTTCGTCGACGGAACTCGCTAGCTTTTTGGAACTTCGTTTGTTATTTGTCGGCGCGATTAACGGAGGTTTCGGACCGTAGATCGACGTGTTCGTATCGTGTAGTACTTAGGAAGACTGAGAAAAGTCGAGTGGAACGCCTGCGTGGAACAAATAACGTGACATACGCGCTGAATAGACGGAAACAGTGGCGGCGACCACACTGGTTTCGTCTACGCGGGGTCAAACTCTTCCTTACAAGCGGGGAATACTCTACGTCGTGACGCTGAAGGAAGAAACTACAGCGAAACAAATTACGTTTCAACAGATATGGGCAAATTCTAGATAAATCAATATTTCCATTACTTTCAAACGTTATTTGAAATAGTTATTTCTTATATTCGTTTCATATAAAATCCGGTCGGAGGTTTCCAATACCGTATTCCGCAATATCGCGGTGAATCCGATGATTCCGTCTTGGAAAAACGTAAAAGAAAATTCGCATTAGTCGAAGAAAGGGGCCGATATCGTCTACCCCGGGACAGCGTTGAGCTGGAAGAGGGAAACGCTTCGAAAAACAAAAAGAAACGACACGCCGCACGTGTTCCTCGAAGCGGGGAATTTGCCACAGGGACGATCGCGCGATTACGATTCTCCCGTGGCTGTTTCCACTTGCCCGTATTTCCCTCTCTCTGGGCCAGGAATGCGGAGGAACTTTTCGAATATGCGCTACTGGACCAGCGCCAAACATTCGGACGCGATCGCGTGACTTCGTCGCAGATTGCTTTCGGTTATCTTCGGAGAATTGAAACGCGACGCAGCTTAACCCCAGAAAACACTAATGGCGGACGATGGATTCTCGAGTTTCTCATTCGCGTAAAATCAACTAAACCGTACTTGTCTACGTAAAAAAAGAAGATCATTATTCTCGGTTGAAAAAATAATCTATGTACAGGGTGTTCGGTCACCCTAGGGAAAAATTTTAATGGGAGATTCTAAAGGCCAAAATAAAACGAAAATCAAGAATACCAATTTCTAGAACGAGACTTCGTTAAAAAGTTATTAAAAAATTTTGAATCAATCTGAAAAAATTATTTTTGGTTGTAGAGGTCAATTACAATCATTTTTGGTGAATACACGTACCCCCGAAATCCTACCCATTTTCGAGAAAAAAATTCGGCTAGGGGCTGAAATTTTTCGGCGAAAAAAAAATTTTTCAAATCATTCTGAAAAAATTATTTTTGGTTGCGGGGTTCAATTACAATCATTTTTTATGAATACACATACCTCTGAAATTCTACCCATTTTCGAGAAAAAAATTCAAGTAGCTACTGCAATTTTTAGACGAAATTAAAAAATTTCAAATCATACTAAAAAAATTATATTTAATTACAGGGGTCAATTACAAGCATTTTTGGTGAATACACCTACCCTCGAAATCCTACCCATTTTCGACCAAAAAAATTCGGGTAGGGGCTGAAATTTTTCGGCGAAAAAAAATTTTTTCAAATCGTTCTGGAAAAATTATTTTTAGCTGCGGGGACGATAACAATCATTTTTGGTGAACAGACATACCCCCGAAATCCTACGCATTTTCGAGAAAAAAATTCAGAAAGGTGCCTAAATTTTTCGACGAAAAAAATAATTTCAAATCGTTCTGGAAACTTTAATCGTTAATAATTTTTTAACAAAGCCTCCATCAACAAATTGGTATTCTTGACTTTCGTCCTATTTTGGCCTCTAGAATCTCCCATTATAATTTTTCCCAGGGGTGGCCGAACGCCCTGTATATAAAATGGTAACGAACAAGTATTTCAAAAATTGTTCTTGCAAAAAATTCCTAGAAGAAGGCTCGGAAATTGACTTTCTAATTATAGGAACAGTGACCCGTAAATTATTTAACAATTCCTCCACGAGTTTCTATGACTTGCAATCAATAAGACGCCCCATACTCGCAGTCCAATAAACAACCGACTGACCCCATTGAATTAGTCATGAGGACATAGCGCGTAGTCCGCGCCCTTCGCTCCTTCTGTACGCTGTATCCGAAGAGTCCTTAGAATTGGAATTTATTCTTTTCGCGACGCCAGCAGTTCGCTGCGAGTCGGTGCAAATGAAGTTTGTAAACCTTTCTAACTCAGCGATCTCGGGAGCCTTATTGATTCAGAGTAAATTTCGCCGTCCATGGTCGTCTCGCCACTCGCGTAAAACAAATTTTTAAAAATACCTCGCACGAAACGATATAAGAGAAATTCTGAAATCCAACTACTTCCACTAAAAAGTTTCGCCACAACGCCGGGATACCAGTATATCGGGTTTCATCGATTCTGCTTCGACAACGACGAGTTCTCTTTTACGAGAATTTATCGATCGATAAACGGACGAGTGTTTAGCGGCAACGTTTAAAGAATCTCAAGCTTCCGGAGAGAAGCATTATTCTGGCACTAAAAGTCTGATTATTTTTTCATGCGTTACAAACCGGGCAGCGGCGTGCAGCGATAAAACGAACCGGTGAATCGTTCTTTACGAAACGGAACGATGCTTTTGTAACTAGGCGAGCGGTTAATTCTTTCATTTTTTTTCTCTCGAATCGAAATAATACAGTGTTACGTTTCTACGGCGGGTAGCTCTCGGTTCGTAATCCGTGGCTTCCGACTACACGCGTGCTGAGACGGAAATAACCAGCGTGCATCGAACGTAAGCACGACCATAAATTCGGCCGGCTTTATCGACCCCTCAAGCGCGATTAAAGAAACGCTCGAGTATCTACATTCCGTACAAAGTGCCCCCGTATCCTCGATATTTATTGCCAACGTTTCCACGGTAGCTTCTGCTTCTTTATGGAATTTCCCGATGGAAGACGACAGATACCATCATTCTCGTCTTCCTTCGCTCTTTAACCCCACGATTCGATGATTGGGTCAATCTTGACCTGAACTAATATCTTATCATTCTGTTTCAAGCTTATGCGTTCGCAATTTACCGAACTACGGGAACACCTCGATAAAAGTAACGAAATCCAGTCCACCCGGTGACTTTTAACGAGTATGCTTGAATTATGTCCGATCTAACGCCACGAGCCCAACGACATTCGATCATCGGTATTCTCGTCGAAAGCCAGCGGGGATATATTAGGTCGAGTCATAAGTAACTTCCGATGCAGCTAAGTAGAATCTATTGTTTGTATCTACCCGCTATGAGTTACCATGACAACAAGTTTTTGTTTTCACTATATAGACGAGGCTTCAGTTAGTCGTTTGTCAACTGTTTTGTGTGATACACGTTACGTTAAACTGTTTTTTTTAACCCCCTGAAATGGAGAGTCAAAAAGTACATATTCGTCATGTAATGCTTTGGGAATTTAAACAAGGTAATAGTGCTAAGGCGACAGCTGAAAAAATATGCAGTGTATATGGTGAAGGACTAATAACTGATCGGGCAGTAAGAAAGTGGTTTATAAAATTCCGTTCTGGAGATACGACCTTAAAAGACGAATCGAGAGCGTAACGTCCTTCCGACTTTGACGACAACCTTTTAAAGGCAATATTGAAGCAAAATCCACGTCAATCAACAAGAGGTATAGCAGAAAGGTTGATACATCACGATCAACTGTTAACCGCCACCTGGAGAAATTAGGGAAAGTCAGCAAGTTAGGAGTATGGGTACCTCACAATCTCAGTGAACGGAATAAAGAAGATCGCATGTCAATCGCTACAAGTCTGCTCTCACGGGTAAAAATTGAGACTTTTTAAACAGAATTGTAACAGGCGATGAAAAATGGGTTACCTATGACAATACAGGATGTTCGACGACCCCTGGGACAAAATTTTATTGGTAGATTCTGAAGGTGAAAATAAGACGAAAATCAAGAATATCAATTTCTTGACTGAGGCTTCGTTAAAAAGTTATTAACAATTATATTGAAAAATTTCATATCGTTCTGGAAAAGTTATTTTCGGTTGCAGGGTTAAATTACAATCATCTTTGGTGAATACACATACCTCCGAAATCCTATCCACTTTCGAGAAAAAAATTCGAGTAGGTACTAAAATTTTTAGACGAAATTAAAAAATTACAAATCATACTAAAAAAATTATATTTAGTTACAGGGGTCAATTACAAGCATGTTTGGTAAATAAACATACCTCGAAATCCTACGAACTTTCGAGAAAAAAATTCTTTACCAGAAATCTAATTCGAGGCCAGAAATGCTTCTCTGAAATTTCATGCGAATCTTTAAAATGTCATAACTCCTGAACGGATTGGAGGATTTTAATTTTTCAAAATGCAAACAACGCGTATTTCAGTGCAGAATATGCTGAAATTCTAACAATATTGAAAAAGTTGTTCCTTGAGACCGTAAAGTGAGAAAAACCCCCTAAAACTTGTCCAATTTTCAAACGGCCATAACTCCTACAATAGTGAAGGTATCTCATTGCAATTTTTTTCTAAAGCAGAGCCCATGGGTATCTACAAAAAAATATTAGACAACTTTTCTGTAGAGCGTCAAACAAATTTACAAAAAAAAATTAACAAGGGTAGTCCCTTTTTCGGCGAAAAAGAAATTTCAAATCGTTCTGGAAAAATTATTTTTGGTTGCGGTGGTCAATTACAATCGTTTTTGGTCCTTACACATGCCCTCGAAATCCTGTCCACTATCGAGAAAAAAATTCAAGAAGGTGTGAAAGTTTTCGACAAAATTAAAAACTTTCAAATCGTTCTAAAAAAATTATTTTCGCTTGCGGGGGTCAATTACGATCATTTTTGGTGAATAGACATACCCTCGGAATCCTACCCACTTTCTAGAAAAAAATTCGAGAATGTGTGAAATTTTTCGACGGAAAAAGAAAAATTTCAAATTGTTTTAGAAAAATTATTTTCGGTTGCGGGGTTCAATTACAATAATTTTTGGTGAACAGACATACCCACGAAATCCTGCGCATTTTTGAGAAAAAAATTCAATACGAGCGGAACTTTAAACGTTAATAACTTTTTAACAAAATCCCCATCAACAAATTGATATTCGTGATTTTCGTCTTATTTTGGCCTCTAGAATGTCCCATTAAAATTTTCCCCAGGGGTGACGGAGCACCCTGTATAGTCCTCAAAAGACAGTGGCTTGATAAGGATCAACCACCCCTACTAGATCCGAAAGCAAACA